CCAAACCATTCTGTGATTCTACTTTGTGAGAAATCAGACTTTTGCCTTTATAGGTGCTGAGTTTCAAGCCAGAGAGAAATGATTGTTACATTTCAGAGATAAAACTCTGAGATGAGAGAAGCAATTCTGCTTTTTAGTACACCTGATAGGTCTATACTGAGACTTCCTCTTGGCTTTCAGGGTGGTGGGGGGAAAGGAGCACTCTTCTGTTTTCTATATAGTACAGTCTGAGGCAAATCATGACTTGTTTCTTGTCCTGAATCCACGGAACAGAGTATTTCTCTGAATTGTGGAAAAGCCTGGTCAGATAATCACTCATTAGACACTGCGTAATGTGCAGAATGGTAGAAGGAACACCAGGAGGAAGTACCTAGGTGGGTTTTTTGCTGTGTTTAAAGGTGTATTTTCTTGTTTTCCTGGGTTTGGTGGTATTTTTTTTCCTTGGTATCATTAACTTGTCATTAAACACACAACCAGTAAGCATTTGGTTAAAATACCTACTATGTGAATTTCCTGAAACAATGCTCTATCTAGTCCTAGAGATGGTTCAAGTTTGGAAACTGATCCAAGTTGCTGCCTTCGCTTTTTTTCCCCTCCCCAGAATCAAGCTTTGAAAAGTGATGGAGGAAGCATTTCCAACAAAGCCCCCGACATCTGCATCGTGTATAAGCTCCACCTGGAGTGCGGCAGATTGATTAACCTCGTCGATTGGTTAGAGGTAGGCGACAGTGCGGACAGCGCCTTCACCTGCTCTCCGTGTTCTGAGTTATCCTCGCGCTGCGTGCCTGCTTGTCCTCGGTGCCCCTTCTGACAGCTTAAATCGTTGCACGCTTCCGTCCCTCCTGCGCTCGAGCAGAGGAACTCCGGTCACCAGCCCACACTGTCTGACTACGGTGCATCATGGATTTCCAGCATTAGTACTCCGTGGTGAAAAACTTCAACTTTAGGCTTGGCCCAGATCAGATTTTATGCTTCAGAAAGCCCCCCTTTTTTTTTAATGGAAACAGGCGAGCGCTGCTGCTTTTGGCTTGTGCTAGGGGAGAGCGAAGGTCCCTCTAGCCCCATACCCTGTCTTGTATGGTGCCCACAAGCCGAGGGAGCGTAACAGGAGGACGTACGTTGTGAATGTCATACGTTCTCCGAATGCTCCCAAGCTCACAGTTGTGTCTTGGCATCAAGTTTCCTAAACTGGAATGGTTTCTCTGTATTCCGTCAGCCTGCCTGGCTTGCGTTACCAGTGTAACTTCCCAGCAACCGCAGCATCCTCTGGCGAGAAATTCTGTAGCTTAACTACCTGCAGCGCAGAGGATGCTCCTCTGAGAGTGTTTTGCATGCTGTTGCCTTGTCTGTGTAGTGGAAATAGAAGTGGACAGCAGATTCCTGCCCAGGCCCTTGCTGTCCCTCAGTTCTATAGATTTCTTCACGGCCAACTGACCTTCATTTTTCCAGAACCTTTCAGCAGCCTCGCTTTGAGAACGTTTCTCAGTTCTCTCTTTTTTCTAAGCGCGGGTTGCGGACCAGAACCGTATCGGGCCTCTTAGTGCAGGCACACGAGTTCGTGAGTGATGTCTCTCCTTCTGCCACGCTAATACGGAACCTTTTTCTGATGTTCTCATGGAGGTCTCGTTCCTCCCAGGTGACAGTCACCAGCTCAGAGCTCGCCGTTTCGTATGCAGCTCTGTCTGTCATTGAAACGTGTTAAATCTCCGCTCCTTTCCCCTTTCTAGGCATTCGCAACTGTGGTGTCGGCAGCTGAGGGACCAAATACAGATGCAGCTTCCTCAGACCAGGTGGATGATATTATCCAGTATCCTTTCTCTCCTGTTGGAAATTCAAATGCTTTACAGGATTAATGAACCCAGATTTTTAAAATACAGCTCCACATGTGCTGATAACCAATTCCAGAAAGACAAAGGTGACTAGTTTGAACGGCCCTCGTGCTGAGAACACCACGGAAATAGGTGGGCTGGGGGTGGCCGGGTAACAGCGTTTGTCCATAGGGGCTGTTTGGGTCTGAAACAGAACCAACAGGCCTTAAAAGAAGTTGAAGCTTGGTGAAATCATCTGAGAGTTGGTACAAGTGCTGCACAGGGGGAGAGCGTGGCAGGGGAGGAGGTGATAGGGTAGCTGTGACCTTGGGAGCAGAGAGACAGCAGCTCATTGTGAGCTATTGTAGGAAATGGCAAAAAAATGTATATCTTCCCATTTCCAAGTATAAATTCTTTGCTTGTTCTGAGAGACTACAAAATTAGTCTCTTTGTAGGCTTCAAGCCTGTCTTAGCAGTGGGGAAAGGAACTCTTCTTTCATTGCCACACTTATGTGTGTAGCAAAAAAAATACTCATTGAAGATTTGGGCTTCATTTCCCACAGTTCATAAAATCACAGAATGGTTTGGGTTGGAAGGGACCTTAAAGACCATCTAGTTCCAACCCCCCTGCCATGGGCAGGGACACCTTCCACTAGACCAGGTTGCTCAAAGCCTCATCCAGCCTGGCCTTGAACACTTCCAGGGATGGGGCATCCACAGATTCACTGGGCAACCTGTGCCAGAGACTCACCACCTTCTCCGGGAAGAACTTCTTCCTGATGTCCAATCTAAACCTCCTCGCTTTCAATTTAAACCCATTACCCCTTGTCCTGTCACTACAGGCCCTTGTAAAAAGTCCCCCCCAGCTTCCTTGTAGCCCCTTCAGGTACTGGAAGGTGCTATAAGGTCTCCCCGGAGCCTTCTCTTCTCCAGGCTGACCAAGCCCAACTCTCTCAGCCTGTCCCCACAGCAGAGGTGCTCCAGCCCTCTGAGCATCTTCGTGCCCTCCTCTGGACTCGCTCCCAGTGGTCTATATCCTTCTGATGTTGAGGGCTCCACAGCTGGACACAGCACTCCAGGAGGGGTCTCACAAGAGCAGAGTAGAGGGGCAGAATCCCCTCCCTTGACAGCTGTAGCGTGCAGCACGCTTAGGGTGATCCGTCCTCGCCCTGTCTTCCCCCCTAGAGAGAGCGGTGTCTCCATCCACGTGTCGTCATAAGTGCGCACTCAGTTTCCTTCACCGCAGTGCCCAGTGCTCGTTTCATTCGAGCTGTTTCTGAACTGGAACTCTTGGGCTTCGTGAAGCCTAGCAAGCAGAAAACGGACCACGTGGCGAGGCTGACGTGGGGAGGCTGTTGATGTGCCACTGAGCTCTCAATAAACCTGTTCTTTATGGCGTTGTGCAATGGCTGCGTTCCCGCTGAACTTGTCCCCGCTCGCTTGGCGTACCGACCCGGCATCAGCCGTTCCTGACCGCGGTGAGGTGCCTTCCCGGGGCCTGGACGGGCTGGAATAGCGACGTTGGGTTTTAATGCTCGGCCTCCCTGGGCAATGTACTGCCCTATGAACGCTCCCATTCCCAGTGCTGTGGTGTTGTGCCGGTTTTCATCTTCCTTCATGTGTGATGTCTAACCCTACGCTGACGTAATCCAGGCCAGCAAAGCCGGAAGGCCGGCGCTGGCTGCAGCAGTGACGAAGCAGTGTTATTACAAGGGGATAGGGTTTGAGTCATTGCTGTAAAATGCCTTCCAGGTCCTCCAGCTACAGATTGAAAAATCAATAAAGCCAGGGTGCTAAAAAGGGCAATAAGCTTCTGTGTTCAGCCCCTGCTGCCTGTTCTTAGGGCTGGTTTTGCTCTGAACTCCTTGAAAACTCCCTCCCGAGGAGGAGAAAGGGACAGGATAATTCCAAAGGTACAAATTTTTGCTCCATGAGAAGAGCAAACTGATAAACTCATTCCCTTGTCCTAGTGAGGCTGATGCGTGCCAGCAGACTTCGGCTGCCAGGGGAGCTCGGGTCAGCACAGTCGGTCGCACTTGCGCGCAGCGAGGGAGGTAGTAAAACACACACCTGGAGCACGCGTCATAACCTGCGCTGAGGCCTCGTGCTGCGTGCAAGCGAAGGAAGCAGCCGTGTGAAAATGACACCTCTTGGCTGAGCGCGTCAAGCGCTGCTTAGCCAAAGGATCTCCGGGCACAACACCTTCCTGGCTGCCGGGCCCTGCGCCGTCAGCGAGCCCAGGATGCGCCCTCGGAGCTCCTGCCAGCACGGAGCGGTGCCTGCACCTAGGTACAGGTTACCGATTCCGTGCTGCCTGTAGGAACGGGACTGGAGTGGCTCACGGCTGGTTCTGACGTGGTAAGGATAGAGCAGAGCGCTGCTGTTCTCCGCCTGCAGCCAGTCGTCAACAGTGCCCGATGCTGTGCCAAAGCGCTGGAAAACTGACCATTGCTGCACTCTGGGCCCCAAGTAAGGCTAAGAACTCGTACCAGATTCCAGGTACCCGAGCAACATGGGTACGTCCGCACCAGCCCTGGGCACGTCCCTGGGCACGCGCAAGCCCCGCCGCGCGTCTGGCTGCATCCAGCCTCTGGGGAGCAGCCGTGTTCACGCGGATGTCGATGCCCTTTGGTTTCCATCCACGGGAGAAGCCTCAGCAGCCGAAGGGAGAAGCCGCGTTTCCCTCCAGAACAAGGTGCGCATCTGCCGCAGGGATAAAGGGTCCCACGGGCCACCACGCGTGTGTTTCAGCAGTAGGGGCGGAGCCTTGTCACCGAAGGAAGTGCTTAGACTTGTCCCTCCCAGCCCACTTGAATGGTGATGAGTTGATGTTGACAGGCTGTATTTACCTCCAAAAAAACTCCCAGACTTCCCCAGTTGCCTGGGAGAGGATTACAGACTTCCCTTCTATCCAAGCGCCGTCACTGGCATCCAGCTGCTCCCACTTGGCCGCACTGGCACTCCAGCCTACTCAAAACAGTGGGAAACGATAGCCTGGAGCTCTGAAGACTGAATCACCTGCGCAGACCTGGGCACGAGGAGAGGACAGTTCCACTACAGGAACCTGGAACTCGCCGGGCTGTTTACCCAGGAATGCGTACGTAGGAGAGGTTGGGCTGGTTTTAAACACCCTCGGAGAGGGCAGGCGTCGCCTGTTTTCCAACTGCTCTAATTGCAGGCACAGCAACGCGTCCCGCTCTGCCTGAGGGAGGGCCCAGTTCCGTGTCGCCAGGCACATTCCGAGGCTGAGGAGGACAAGCAGTTTACAGGCCTTGATAGTGCCTAAACACACAGCGTGGGAGACAGCCTGAGGAAAACTAGGAGTGAGGATTTGGGGGATCTCAGTGGAATAGTTGTAAGAGTTCCTCTCTTCCACCAAGACACGGGGGTAAGCAAAGGGGGACCAAGCAAGGGGCCCTGTGTTGTAGTGGTGAAGGTATAAAGGGGAAAGGGTTGACTGAAGTGACACAGCGTGATGTCATTTCCTTCAGCAGGGAGGGCAGGAAGGTTAGAATCACAGAATGGTTTG